AAAAATTACATATCTCAGGGTAACATGTCCCCTGTCTTTTCCTGAAATGATGATCACTGCAAACGATGTGAGAAAATTCGATATTGTTACAGAATCACTGACAAGCTGCTATGTTTTCAATAATGGAAATAAAAGTCATTTTCAAAAGCACAGTCGTACCTGTTGCAAGTATATATATCATAGTGTTCTCCCTTTGGGAAACTTCAAATGAATAACACTAGTGGAAGTGAAATCATAAGACCAGATGAGAATTCTGAGTTTTATTTAGCGTCAGTTTCTTCTGGGATAATCTTGCTTGTAGTTTTTGTTTCTTCTCTTGTATTAAATAGTGTTGTTCTATGGGTGTTATGGAAAACAAAACTGTTGCAATCGGCTGTGTACCGAATGATAGGATTTATATTGATCAACGAACTTTTGATAAGAATGTTTGGGTCACCTCTTATCATCACTTCAATGTTGCTTGGACGATGGCTTTACCTCGATTCTGGTTGTATATTTTACGCTTTCGTGATGACTTGGTTATCAGTTACAACGTCAACTTTATTTACGTGTGAGTATATCAAAAATATTTTTGCAGCATTTTAAATAATGGATTAATGCCATTGTTATTCAATATGTGCATTAATTATTGAATAAATTGACAACTCATTTTTATTTTAGTAAAATGTGCCTCGAGTCATAAGCATCTTCTTTTTTGTGATTGTGTGATACCAAGAAACGTTTTAGATCGTAAAGTTTAATAGATAAACAGATACATATTATTTTATTTAACAAATACGTATGAACAGTTTTAAGCACTTATGGTAACCATTTGATATACCACTATTCTAAATCCCTCCCGATGTCTGCTTGCCGCGAAGAAAGCAGGCGACACGTCAAGTTAAATCATCCTGAGAACAAGGAATGATTGGTTGAGCTAGAGAGGGTGTGACCGTACAGATAACACAAATGCCATGGACATATTGTTCTTCATCTTTGCCACCAACGTAATTTTTATTGACAAACTTTCATGAAAAATACGTCTTAGGTTCGGCTATAGGATCGGACCGGCGAGTATGCCGTTTATCTCAGTCATATGGTCTATTCCAATGCCGAGTATAAATAACTAAATCAAACAAACAAACCTAATATATGAGATAATAATTGATTGGAAACGCAAAGGATATATCTAAAGTTTTCTGTATTATCTTAAAACTGAAATTATATCTAGTTATTTACATAATTGCCCTATGAGTTCATAATGTGCCATTATCGCATAATGGCGAGCAGCAACCAAGTAGTAACCTCTAAGTAATTATGAATTACGCTTCCCAAACAAAGTTTATAAATTTTCTTATTCAATTTAGACATATTCACTAAGAATTTCCTAGATTTCAATAGATTTCTGCAATAAATATATTTTACCCAAGGTCGATGGACAAAATACATCTTTAAATATGTTAAAATGTGTTTAATTCTATATCAAACAAATAATATTAAGTACAATAGATCACTTCTTAATTTATAATTAGCACCTTCTACATACACTAGGGTAAAATGGACTGTTACCAAGTCACTGACTAATAAATCAATATTAAGTCTCATATTGATATAGGGCCGGAAAATAAACATTCAAAACACCAAGTAACTTATTAGCAACCAAAGTATTAATTGTCAGACGAATATATAGGATGTGTGTTTTATGCTGAATGTGATAAATGTCACACTGAGAGCGCGAATTGCGGTTGATCTCATGATAATATCACAATTAAATCACGAAAAATACTTCATTTTAGATAAGTAAACAAATGTCGACAATAACAATAAATAATTGGAGCATCAACATCCTATTGTCCCACCCCGCTATCTTATTGTCATACTGTCACAACATATTCTCGCGATTCTCTAGGAGAGCTAGAACTGACTGACCCTAACGAAACACCGTACCTTCATTATGATTCCGAAGTCATTAATCTTGGCAATTTTACGAAACATCATATTAATGATGGTAATGATATTGGTCATCAGATAAATGAATTTAGTTGTTCACCCGATGATATGCAAATTTGGCGTCTATGCTGAAACTTATATTATCAAAAGTGCATGTAGGTATTATGTTAAATGGTTATTTTGCATGTATTATTGATGCAATGTTGATAGACATTATTTGACTTCCATAGTTAAGATGTTTCCTCTCCTTTTTCTACTTCTTCTTCTTCTTAAAGAATATAGAATTAAAGGGTTGATGTCTCAAGAGAAAGAATAACTTTCGTTCTGTTTGTAACGAAACCTTATGAAAAAGCCACAGAAGTACAAGTGTATATAAAACAGAGAAATATTCAGTAAATATTGATAATCAAAAATCATGTTGACTTTTATTGTGGAATGAGGAGATTATAAAAACAATAACATTTCTTATCCACTTGAAATGTTCATTCATTCATCTCAAATATAATCAACGACAACAAAGAGTAAAAAAAATAACAGCATTTTTCTGTCATGATTATTCTCCAATTCTGTTTTAGGGAAGGAATGAACAATGATAAAATTTATATCAGAAAGTATTCTTTTAATATAAAAGTATGGTAGACATGATTTTATTTATTTATATTTATACAGGTGTCGCAATTGAACGGTATATCATAATGTGTCAACCGGACTTACGCCATCATTTAACAGTACATGCAGCCAATATAATCGGTGTTATATGCTACATACATGGTTTAGTTTGGGCTATCGCACCGTTTCTCATGATGTACGGATACGTTTACGAGCCATCAAGACTTGCGTGCACACCAGATTGGTCACATGACAATATTGGATACATTCTTGGACTCGTTTTGGTGTGCTTTTTAATGCCAGTGTTAATATCGATGTGCTGTTACATAACCATTTACAAATTGGTGAGTGTCATCTTTAATTGTCCATAGGTAAACAATATGTTTTCGTTAGATATACAAACCTTTTGAAGGATGCATTGCATTGTTGCATTTTCGAAAGGAGGACAGATGTAATGCAAAAACACAACATGATTTATGTTTCTTAATTTTGCCTGATTCTGTGTTCTTTAGCTTTTTCGCATCGAGAACACATAAAAATCGAGAATACAAAAAAAACTAGCATTATAATATTCTTATGGTTCAGGACAAAGACTAAATGAAATTAATCAATCAATATTGTATTTTTGAATATAGCTATAACCGTACAAAACAACCAAAACATTTGCTTTTATGACATTCTTTAACTGAAATATTAATTCATGCACATAGGTTTTGTTTAGTTTCTAGTAAAAAATAAGGCTATTTAAGAATGTTTTGATAATTATATCTTTTCATTTTAGATTCAGGGACATGCAATAAGAACACGATTCAACTCATCTTTTGACAGCAATGTTGCGTTCAATACGGCGATTACATTAGGTATGAGTTTATATGCTTTAAAGCAGTTTAATCTATATCTTGTTACGTTCCCACTTCATCAAACCAAGCCTGGAACATTTTCAAAGCGTTCTTAAATGATTGTTTTATTTAATTTCTTTATTTTATGTAACAAAGGTCTCTTAAAGCCTATTCGACCAGTATGAAGAGAACGCTTAGACCTAAAATGGCCTTACCCATTACAGACTCGTCCGACTCATAGAGAATGTGTTTGTCTTTACATTTGATGTGGAGTTGGCCATGACAAGATAACAACTACTAATCAGTATGTCGAACTTGTAAGTAACCATTGACTTGACCACTGAAAGATTATCAGACCATTTACTAAAGATCGGTTTTGCCAACAGCCGGTGAGGACTAGCAACTTTTAGCAATGTCAGTAGGTCAAGGTCATCAAGCTCTTGACAACTAAAAGCTTGTCTGTCAAATAACTATAAATATGACTAATAGATGACCTCTATTAATTATGAGGTTATAAGACCAAAGGTCAAGGTTGAAGTACAAATGTATGCGTAAAATCCTTGTCATATCAATCATTTGAACAAGTAAAAAGGTTAAGTTTTTGAGATACAATGGTCATCACAAGAAGATGCTATCCATTGATTTTGAGGTCGTTAAGCCAAAGGTTAATATCACAGTGACAGTGATGTTGCTTCTCCGGCAGTAACAGTGATTAAAAATCTGTAAGTTGGCAACTAAGGCAACCCATAGTTTTTGTCAAACGCTTAATTAATAGAATGATATATTTTTGCCCAGATTAAATTTAGATACCAATCACATTAATTGTGTAGATTATATACTCTAGACACATGAAGATGTTTTCAATACCTTATTCTTTGTCAATGTGGACGAATATTTTAAGCATATGGCAGAGCCGTTTTGTGGATTTGCTAAACGATTATGATTAGCCGCTTAAATGTCAAAGGGGCAAGCTGTATAAATGGTAATATTGGCTATATATATAGTCTACAAGACAGCCTGTGTAGGGGCTTACAACTTATATATCTATATCTATTGTCTAACATTAATGTATATTAAGGTTTACACTGGTCAGCAATGAAATCACAAATGTAAGGTTTTAGCCGAGAAGCATTTCAGAGGACTTAAAATATATACACTGTACAGCAATCATTCTTATTAATTCCAAGGAAAATAAAAGTATTTAACAGCCTTGCGTCTAAAATTAAATTGGAAGATTTTCAAAATTTGCATCTGAAAATATACCAAAAGCCACCATTTAATAAGAATAGTTTTTTTCTTAGTTTGATCCCCTGTACTCCACCCTTCTAAAGAAAAAATGTTACCCTACATCTGAAAATCCTTCCTTTCATGCTGCTACAGATAGTTTTATCATACTTGATATACTACACGTATGGCGAATTTACAATATTCTAATTCGGAATCAATTAGTAATGTATATTGTATTTTTATATTCACATTTAAGATAACATAAAAACAAACAACTATGTGGACAAAAAGCGGATTTGCCTATTATGTGAAATGATAAAAATCTTTAAGGGGAAACAGCTTACATTTGATTTTTCTATTTCCGCTGATTACCAGTGATTTAATTGTTGTTGCAATATGATAAGATATGGAATAATTTATCCGTATACAATTGTGTTATAATTCCTTTCTCCCAAAAATAACGAATGTCTTTTATCAAAGAGAATGATTTTGAAGTTGACATTTCAGGTACATTCTTCATCACATGGACACCGTATATGTGTATTGCTCTTCATAAAACTCTCGGAATGGAAGGACAAATTAACCTATCCAAAGAAATAACGCTTATTCCCTTGGTCGCGGCTAAAACGGCAGGATTATGGCATCCGCTTGTCTTTGGTTTAAACAACAATGATATTCGTACTGTCATTAGATCTGAGGTCAGTCGGTGTTGTCAAATT